ACCCCACCCCCGCCAACTGTGGTCCCAAGCAGAGAAAGCAGGGGAGTTCTGCCGGAACAGAGCTGTGGTGAGCAGACAGCAGCCCACCTGCAGCGACATGGGATAGTTAGCATAGGCTAGTCCCCCAGAACTGAAGGGAAAGAGGCACCTAAGGCTGGGGAGAGAGTCTCACCAAGAAAGGAGAATGAAATGAGGCTTCCCAGTCTGCACAGGGACTGGAGGAGGTGAGAAAAAGGAGCCAAATTCTTCCCTATGTAAGCCTACAGGAAGGCATTTGTCTCCAATTCCAGCCTTAGGGATTTCTCCAAGGCTGTATGGTTTGGTCATTTTCCCCCAATGCTAAAAGTTTGGGGCAAGGGCAGACTTTCTTCATTTCTCTGTTCCTTTCTCTCTTCTCCTGCCTTTGCCCTTTTGAGTTTCTCCTAGAGAAGCTGATTTAAGGAATTCCCTAAGTGAAGGCAAAAGTATTTGAAAGTTCCTGATACGTAGCAATTATGCCTTAGCATATACAGTCTGGTCTAGATGCCCACGTGGGTGTATGTATATTATGTTTGCCAGCATGTACGGTAAATACTAAGTAAGTTGAGTTTGAAACAAATACCCTGCCAATTTCTACATGTCATGGGTAATGAGTTGCTACTATTGAATGTGGAGTGTGTGTGTACGTGTGCACAAGTGCTTGTGCTCACTCACATAAACATCGTCATACCATTGATACCATGAGCCCCCTCAGATTTACACACAAATTCTTACAGTTACCTCTGCTCCCTTAAAACTGCCGAGTCAGACCACTCAGTTTCTGAAGGGGCATCCTGTTCTCAAGAGGGGAACACAGGAGAGGTCTTTGCCAGCACAGTACGTGCACCAAGGTACTTCGCGGGCCTAGAAACTTCTCTGGGATGGTCCCGCACTCCACTCAGTAGGATGACCTGGTCCTGTTTCCTCCTCGCATCAGTAAAGAGTTCACTGCCCCTGCCCAATTTGGGTGGGCATGAGGCTCAGGACCTGAGGTTAGGTGTCCTCAGGCCTTGCCTAGGCTGCACGGAGCCCCCTGGAGGCAGAGAGGTAATCAGGGGCAAACCCAGGGCTTCATACAGCTGGACTAGCAGAAGATGGGCCAGGAAACTGGGTCTTGGCCAAGACAGTCTGCCTTTGAGTGAGCTCTTCCTTTAATGGAGGCCTGAAGCAGCAGAACCATCAACACTAGCTCCTGGCCTCCAGAGACGGTCCAGAATGAGCTGGAAGCTGCTCCATCAGACTCAGTGGCCCTGTGGTGCCCACTTTCTTTGGAGCTAACCTGGTGGTGACCGTGCGGAACCCTGTCCTGTTGGCCCTGCATCTGCTGGGAGCAGCTGCCAGAAGCATCAGGCAGCCCCAACAGAAAGAAATGGGACCAGAGGCCCACACCTGTCTCCCATATAGTGATGACCAGGAGCCTGGAGTGAGTGGGAGCAACTTTCATGCCCCTAGTTCCTAGGGACAACCAGGAATTAAGGCGTCTTGAAGCCAAGCAGTCTTTATGGCTTTCCGGTTTCTGGAGAGGGGGCTCGGTGCTGTCACAAAGAGTGTCTGGGCCCCAGAATCACAAAATCTCCTCATTTACATTTAAGGAAACTGAGGTCTTGAGAAGGGGCCAGCCAGAAGTTACTTACTTGGCTGTCTGTGGGGCAGACAGACTTAGACATTTTAAATCAGATCCAGAAAGCAGCTGAGCCCAGCTGTGCACCAATGCTCTCCGAGTGGCACAGAGCACCCAGAAGCTCAGTGGGAGACAGGGTGGCAGGGGCGCCAAAAGGGAGAGAAGGTAGGACAGACGGGCAGACGTGGGTCTGAGCTGCATGCAGACTGCGCTGCAGGAAATGCTGCTGTGTG